GATTTTGAACCAATTCCTTGTTCCAATTGCAAAGCAGTTGACCCAAAATAAATTATCATCCATTTAATTTAGAAAAATAAATGAATTCGAAATATGTAGTGGGTGAGGATGAGCAGAGTTGTGGCATAGTTAAATATTTCTCTTTGCTGTAATATTTGGGAGTTTTTTAGAATTGAGAATCTGGAGTTTTGATTTAGGGTTTGGGGGGGTTAGAACGTATTAATTACGTGATTAAAGATTTAATAAGTTAATAAGGTATTATTCAAATTCTTTAATTTTGGAGGGTAGTTATTCTAATTTTCCCATTAACTTATGTGCCAAATTTAATTAATTAGATTCATTAAATATTGGACCGCATGTTTAATGGGTGTGTCAAGTCCACTTAAACTTTTATTAGGATTTGAAAAATTATAATATACATTCATAATTTTGCTAGTACAAAAAAAGAAAAATCATAATCTCTCATTCTTGTTCTCATGTGAATTATCATTGGAGGTTGGATAATTGGGTGCGGAAATCTTGATTGTTTGTGTTCCAAGATTGCCAAAAACGTTCACAAAATTTATATAACGATCGGACCTCACGTCGGAGCCGTCATCATATCGTACGTATTGTCCGCTTTGGGAGGATCTAGACCCATCTTACCCCTCAAGGCTTTCTAACGCATCCCCTATGATTCGAACTCAAGACCTCCATCATATGGGAGACTTACGTTGAATCATGGTACCAATTGGATGGGACGCGTTAGAAAGCCATGAGAGGTAAGATATGCCTAAACCCTCCCAAAGCAGACAGTATGTATGATATAATGACGGCTCAGGCACGAAGTCGGGTCGTTACAAAACGCGTCCACCAGGATTCGAACCAAAGACCTCCATCATATGGGAGACTTAAGTTGAATCCTAGTATCAATTGGGCAACCAACTTAAGTCTCTCATATGATGAAGGTCTTGGATTCGAATCTTGGGGGACGCGTCAAAAATTCGTGAGGGGTAAGATGGGCCTAGGCCCTCCCAAAGTGGACAGTATATACGATATGATGATGGCTCTGGCGCAAGGTTGGGTTATTAAAATTTACTGAACATATAATTTTAGGGCGTATTCGGTAGAGATTAAAATTGAAAAAGTAGCCGTTATTGTTGACTTTTATTAGACGAGTGAGACCCAATTATGGCTATATTTTGAATTTTAATTGGATTCTAAGTTCTACCAAATAAGCTCTTAATCATAGGTTTTATCTAAACACAAAAAAGATCTTCGATGAAAATTGAAATTATTTTAGATTTCGTTGTACATGTATAAGTAAATTTCCAAAGGAATACATGTCCGTTCTCAAATAAGATAAAGAATAATTGTGCATAGCTTTTAAATACTTGACAAAAACGATGAAGTTTGTTATAAGATAATTTATTTTTGTACAGTGTACGAGCCTGAATCCTCCAAGTCCTCTTGAAATAAAAAGGATGAAATTCATGGTTATAATCAGGTGAGATTTTTATTTGAAAACATAATAATCAGGCAGGTTATAATTCTTAGTCAATTGTGTTCTTCATATAGTGTCAATCCTCTTTTACTGTGGCATTGTTTTTACTTATGTAAGCTAGGTGTTAAATGGTTTTCCTGTTCTGTTGTTGTATGTGGGATATAAATTAAGAATTTCAACTTTCAAAGTCCAAGAACTACAAATATATATTTTTCATCATTCCACTTATTGGTTTTTATTGTGGTCTATAAACTATATCAGGATTGTAGAAGAATTAATCTAGATGTACATTTTTAGATGGCATTGTGGTTGACATTGTAAGAGTTGTCAAAATCTGCGTCATTAATTATTGAATTATGTTATTTGTAAAATTTGGGTTACACTTTGGTTTACTTGACCCTACCTCCGCCTCCACATTGGGGTGGAGTCCCATATCTAATAAATGCGTAGAGCCCAACCCCCATGTGAGGGTGGGTGGGGCGGGGCAGGGCTGGGGCGGAGCCAGCCTGTTGAACTAGGGGGGTCCCGAAGTTGAAGGGGTGAGGGCCCATGCTGCCCCCGAATTTCTTTTTTTTTTTGAAACATTATGTGTTAAAATAGGGAAAGTTGGTACTTTGAGATAGGGAAAGGAAACAATGGAACATAAATTAATGTACGAACACTTAACAAAAAAATCGAAAAACGTAAAAAAGAAAGTACTAATCTTTAATTTAGCAAAAATTATATCTTATTACAAGTGTTCCTTTCGAGTTCTCATACTTTGAGAAATTAATACCTATGTCAAAAGCTTGTGTAATAATGGGTATACTTCATGTTTTTTTTTTTGTCACAACCAACTTTTGTTCAAATTCACAAAGGNTTTTTTTGTCACAAACAACTTTTGTGCAAATTCACAAAGGCCGTGTAATCCTACAAATTTTGGATTAGTTACGAGATAACTAAAAAAAAATTTTTTTGAGCCCAAAAAATTTAAAATAAATAAATAAATAAATTTGTCAAATCTTTAAAGTGTTGTTAAAATCAAAGTATAAAAAATTGCCAACTCACAAAAATGTCATTCATGATGTCAAAGATAATTTACATGTAGCAAGATTGACTGTAGAAGCGAGCTGGAGCTTGTCCTCGTTTTTTAGCATCTGGAATTAAGATTTAGGTCTACAATAAGGCAATTTCACAAACACTTGAACTGCACAACAAACACTTGCAAATCTCCCTCTCTCTATCTCTCTCTCTCTCACACGCTCGCGCGTGACAGAGAACATAAAACCCATTGGAATTTTCTTTTAGAATCTTGCTACGTGTACCTAACCCCACGCCCCCCTCTCACAATGAGGGGGGGCCGCTATTATTTTAATCACCTTGGGGTCCCCCTCATTGTGAGAGGGGTTGTGGGCCCGTGTACCCGGGCATGTAAATGCCGGGTACCAATAGCATAATCATTTCTTTTATTTTTGTACAAGTTTAGGTAGATTTGGTAATAATTCTTTCATAGAGAGTATGGAAGAAAATATGAGAAACACGGATCACATGGGTTGAAAGAAATTGGCAAAATTACACTACGTCTATTTTGAGTGGTTTTTAAACTATCGAAAATCGGTTTCCAAAAAAATTAGTGAACACCGATTTTATCAATCTCTCATAAGCGGTGTCACTCAAAATCAAAAAAAAAAAAATTTGAAAATTACACCTAGGGCATAAAAGGTTCAAACGTAAAGTATTATAAAATTTTGAGTTTCATATTTCATAATTCTTGTTATAATTAATTATTTAATATTTATTAAATAAATATATTATGAATAATCAATGAAAAATTCAATGATGAAGCACCCTAATTTTGGCGATGCAGCATGCAGTGGAGAGTGCACGACGTAGTTGGTATATTTTTCAATGGGACAGTTGGTAGAGCTTGGTCGGGATTTTCCATTAAGGCTTTTCAAAATTTGTGGGGATCTTGTGATCTGTGGTGTTGGGCGATATAATTTCAAAATCTACAGGAATCTCGCGATCTATGATATTGGGTGATTTTGTGAATTGGATTGGGATCTAAAGTTTTGGTTGTGGTGGTGGTGACAGGTCACATGTACCAGATCACGGCCATGGATCATTGCACATAGATCACAGATCAAAGTCCACATGTTACATATCAAATAGAATTGATCGCAGGTTACTTATTTATGTTCACTGGTTATGGGTCACAGTTCACAAGTCAATGGTCATATTATACAAATTACAGATCATATGTCACATGTGTTTGTGTATTGATAACAGCTCACATATTTAAGTTCACATGTCCCAATTCATATATTATAGGTCACATGTGACAGTTCACAATTCATATTGCATAGGTAATAAAAAAAAACTCCTGAGAAGGCCATTAGAATTGATACCGTAGTGGTTACGTTGATGAATGACGGTTGATTTTCCTCAACTCTGATTTTGATGGATTTTAAAAATCCTTCTAAATTCAAGTGATTCATTAAAATCTATGTATCTCCAATTAAAATTTTAATGGATTTTTATGAAATCTAGGCGTCTCCAATTCATGGATTTATATGAATTTCATTAATAGATTGATTTTAGAAGATTTAGATGGATTTCATGTTTAAAGATACATATAATAAATTCTTTTAAAATTTTACTATTTTTAACGAGATTCTTATAATTTTATGAAAATCTATTTAAATCTAAGAAATTCATTAAAATTTATCTAAAATTCATCAAAATACGAGTTGATGACACCTCCTAAAAACTGCCTTGAAAAATAAAAATCTAACGACGAGGCTATGTGCCTTGACTTGACGTCCCAACTTAATAGAGGTCAGTCACTGTAGCAATTTCTGACAAAAACCCTCATTTACAGGCAGACAGCCTTAGAAATATCCCATTGACACATTTCAATTTTCATCACCCCTCCTACCTCTCACACACACTGTGTGTGTGCATTATTTCTCGTGTCAACTGTACTGTTCATGGGCAAAACATTCTGTTAAATATAGAGAAGACATCCCTTTTCTCTGGCTGTGATAAAAAACCAACACTGGTATGTTCTTCTTTCGTTTTATGTTCTTTAATTTGTGAACTTTTCTTCTTTTTGATATGTGTTTACACGACTTGGGATTTCCTTTTTCGAGCTGGATTTTGGGTTTTGATCTATTTTGTTTTCTCGCTTATTGGATCTTGATTGAATCTGATCATTTTTTTATTTTTGGTATTATTTTTTCATTTTGTTTGGTTTGTAAGTAACATGGTAAAATGGAATTTGACTAAATTGTGACTATTTCTTGAAGCCAAGGTTATGATCTTTCGGGATTGCTGATGGGGAAAGTTAAAGTGCAATATGTGGGAGAAATTGAAAGTTGTCATTTTCAAAATAAAGCAACATAAAATTTCTTTTCCTCTGTTATTTTTTGGTTTAGATCATGTTTTGCCAAGTCAGTTGTTACTGAAATTGTTTAATACAATGTTCGATTTCTTAGGTAACTTCAGTAGCTAGATTGTGTTAAACCTAGCAATTATCATGTTCCGCCGCAGGGGTAACTCCCATCACGATCAGGACACCGATGAGGAGGAACGTGACAGCAAGGTAATGACAGATTGTTTGTCGTAAAAGAACATTTCGTTGATTAATCTCCGATTTCATATTTAGATGCCACATTTATCATAATCATCTATGGTTGTAAATTCGTTTGAGTAGTTTGTGAATGATGAGGAAATCTTTGCGTCTGGAGCCAGCATTATATTTTCGTCACGCCTCACCAAAAATCTCTTTTATGGGTAGCAAATATGATTAATCCCTAATTTGTAGATGCATTTTTAAGCATATTTTAATATCAGAAATTATCTCTTGAAAGTAGGGATTAGAGCTTCATACATCTGTAAATGCTTGAAGATAATTTGAGTAAGATCTGGGTGCAGGTCAACGAGCTTAAAGCTGCCCTGGGACCACTTTCTGGACGCAGCTTGCAGTACTGCACTGATGCGTGCTTGAAGAGATATTTGGTAGCCAGGAACTGGAATGTAGAGAAGTCGAAAAAGATGTTGGAAGAGACACTGAGATGGAGATCGACATATAAACCTGAAGAGATCCGCTGGGTAAGGGAGGCAATTATTGCCTTTTAAATTCTTGCAAATACTAGTGATCACAGATGTGTTGCAATTAGCAAAAGCAGCTTGTGATATGGATGAAATGTACTGTAAGAAATATCAACATAACTTGTAGGAACTGAATTTTGACTTTGTAAATATCTACTATATGCTGTTATTGAAACATGGATACTTTCACCAGTGATAGTGTGATACAAAATACATTAAATAGTCACTCATCATTTTCAAAAGATTACAGTGCCAGAATTCAAAATCAAGGCTAGGAAAGAGTATTGCTTTTATTGAGAAATTGTTAAGAATTAAAATTAAAATAAATATATTTAAATTTTTATTTTTATTAGATGTGTCCCTATCCTACATTTTGAGAAGTTAGGTATTGTTATGTCTGTCTACTGTCATGTTTTGTGTTCATGTCCATTCTTCATAAGTTATTGGCAAAGATTAAATGGAAATGTTCATATGGTTTTTCTGTGTTTAGCAATAGCATCATCTTCCGCCCACTGCCAATATCATGACCTTTCAAACTTATTATTTCAATTTGTTTAATCAAGTACCTTTTATTTTTTAAAACTTGTAATCATGTACTTGCTTGTTCGAGTTTTACGTGCTGATGTTATAACTTATAATAATGTTTTGGCATAGCTCCAACTTGTTACTTGAATTGTCAATGGTTTTATTTTCAAAACTGGCTATTGCATTTGCATTAACCATTTAAATGCGCGTCATTTTTTAGCATGAAGTTGCAATTGAAGGTGAGACTGGGAAGGTATACAGAGCTAATTTTCACGATCGTTATGGAAGGACTGTTCTTATACTGAGACCGGGAATGCAGGTAATCAATTGAATCTTGAAATTTCATTAAATTCTTTTCTTCAACATTTTCATTTGGTCTGTCTCTCTTTCTGAAGAAATTATTTGGAATCATATTGCCGTACCTTTGCAGAATACGTCGTCACTAGATAACCAGATGAGACACCTGGTGTATCTTATAGAAAATGCCATTCTTAATCTTCCCGAAGGTCAAGAACAGATGGCATGGTTAATTGATTTTACAGGATGGTCTTTAAGCAACCATGTCCCCATCAAATCTGCTCGAGAAACTAGCAATATATTGCAAAACCATTACCCTGAGAGACTAGCCATTGCATTTTTGTACAGCCCTCCACGCATATTCGAAGCATTCTGGAAGGTTTGCTTTCTAAAATCCTTGAGATCATATTTTTCTGTTTGATGCCCAAATACCTGAGTAAGTTTGGCTAAGCTTAAAAGTTTTATGTACAAGTTATTTGTGATGATAGTAAGGTAAAGCTACTTAAAAAAGGTAAGACAAATTTACTGAAAAGTAACTTATTTCAAATCTTAGTCAAGCATGCTTATCTTCCTTAACTACATTACTCTGTTATTAATATTGCTCATTACTGATATTTCTATGGGGCCGGTGTATTTTAATGCCTCGATTGCATATTTCGATCTATTGATATATGTTTTCTTTAATTGAAGAATTGCAAGAAACTAGGACTTTTTTCAACATTCACACACATTTTGATTGAACTGCACGAGTTGTCTACAGTATATGTTACACGAGATCATTCCATTTCTTTGTATATTCTTGTTCTATAACAAAGTTTTCAATGTATTTTGTGTGCTTCTGTGGTACAGGTTGTGAGGTACTTTTTGGATCCGAAAACCTTCCAGAAGGTGAAATTTGTGTACCCGAAGAATAAAGACAGTGTGGAGCTGATGGGTTCCTATTTTGATTCTGACAATCTCCCGACTGAGTTTGGCGGAAAAGCCACGCTGCAGTATAATCACGAGGAGTTCTCCAGGCAAATGGCACAGGATGATGTGAAAGCTGCTAAGTTATGGGGTTTCGATGAGCACCAACCTAATGACCGTGCGGGAGCCGAGGTGGCTCCAGAACCCTAGTGCCTTGCTCCATGAGTCAGCTGAATTCTGTCACCGATGACATAGCGAGTTCAACCCGAATTCTTAGCTGGAAGCTATAGTCACATTTTACTAGATTAACTCATTTTATTGCCGAACCGTTGTATCTTGTTATTCATGAAAATATAAATGGATGTTTTTATTGATTAATGTTCACAATTGACAATCATCTTTCTTATATTGTACATCTATCTATATTTCATTGATGAAATGGATCGTGGGTTCTCCTCCAGCATCTCTTCGTGCATAAAGAGATGTATTTGTGCATTTCAGGGGACGGGTGTTATGTGGTAATTTTTAAGTCAATTATGAGTTACTTAGAGTATCTTCAATCATGGTGTAAAATAGTGTAAAATAGATCTAAATTATGATTTAGATATCCAAAGTAATCTCAAATCTTTCTAATGGAGAGGGATATAAGGAAATGCAAATTGCGTTTTTCAGCAGAAAATATTAAAAAAAATGAAAATTTAAAAAAAAATTGTTTTTTTTTTTTAAATTACATTCAAGAGGCAAAAAGTGTATTTAAATATTTTCATTGGAGCAAATTTTGAATTTAGATTCACTAGAATGTACATGGGAAATGTAAAAGTGATTTTGAATATATTAGGGTAATTGGCGTAAAACGTCCCTACCTATGACGAGTTTTGTGAAAAATGTTTAAAAAAAAAATTCATGTGTAATTTTTATTTTTTTATTTTTACGTATTAGCCCCCTGTAATCCGATCATGGAGCCGTCCCTGCATGCGATATGTACAAGTCAAAACAAACTTTGCTGCATTTAAGACCAGGTTCTTGCATGTGTACAAGTATTCAAATCTATCTATTTTTACTCAACTCCTTTTCAACAATAA